GTCAGTGATAGAAATATGATTTAAGACGGTAGTTTAAGCATGTTTAGTTTGAAAAAGTTTAATAGTAAATAAGACACAGTGAGACAATATTTACATAAAATAATAATAATGAAAATAAATATTTATTTGCAACAACTGATGGAGTGCTGAATGCTGCATGCACACGCAGTGTTGTCAAGGTAACGTTTGGTCAGTCATTCCCTTCGCCAAGAGAGTTCCAAACGCTTATACGAGACAGTAATGCCCTGCACCCTTCAAAGAACACACTTCAAGGGGTCTGCCCTTCGAAGGGAGTAGGGCATAGGGATGCTCACTTCTGTTTGGAATTCGCCGCATGTCTCTTGTATCACCGCGGAGGTGCGGACGCGCTCTCTCGTTTCATTCAAATGCAGCTTGCGCCTCAGTTTTTGATTGTATTGAAAATGAAATCAGAGGAATTTAGTATTAATACTACTATAATTTTGCTGTAGTGATCATATTGTCCTGACGATTGTTTTGTACACTGCTCATAATGGATTTATAAATGGGTAAGATTTCAAAACATTAATCTCAATTCAATATTTCATATCCCCATGTTTATATATTATTAATAATTAATAAAAAAATTTTTGAAAATAACCAATCGTTTCGCTAGATAAGACCCTCCTTCCTCGGCTGGGATCGTTTAGAGCCCTTTGAAGCTGCATTTAAACTGCATTTTGGAAGTTCAAAGTCAGGAGCACCATAGAAGTCCATTATATGGAGAGAAATCCTGAAATGTTTTCCTCAAAAAAACAATTTCTTTACGAGATAAAGAAAGACATGAACATTTTAGATGACAAGGGTGTTGAGTACATTATCTGTAAAAAAAAATTCTGGAAGTGAACTACTCCTTTAATGCAGCTTCACAGAAAGTTATGGTGTTAATATTTGTAATATCTTAATACCTTATAGTCACATTTAGCAGATAAGCGCTGTGCTCTAATAGTTTCCATTTTGTGCCAACATAAACAGTCAAGAAGTTCAGAATTGCTATGTAGTAAATATCACTTGAGTACTTGCAGATTCTTACGTATTCAACATTATATATTATCCTGTGCAATGATATAGGCCTAAAGAATCACACAGCCAAAATTAGCTATATAGCATGTATTTATTTGTGTTAGTGTATTGTATTTATGGATGCGGGTACAGATAGATATTCTGTATATTCAACTTTAAATATATCTCTGATCAATAATATAGTTTACATTTTGTGGTGATAGAAATGAGAAAGCAATTGAGATTTGCTATAAAGTGATGTTAAATATTAAGGGAAATTATTTAGAACCAAATAGTTGGATTTTATACTGCACACATATTAGGATAATTTGATCATCTCCAACCCTATTTTTACATGACCCTGATTCTCCTAATATTCTTTTAGTGTCTTGGCATTCCAGCAGCCCAATGCTAAAAAGCAGCGGCGCATATCAGAGAATGCAGCAAAGTTGGCGGCCATGGGAGTGTTGCCACGAAGAGAAAAGCTTCTTCAACTCCGAAGGGCTGCAGCCGCCTCTGGGGTGTCAGTTAAAGAACATCCAGTGGCCAATAATAATCCAGATAGAGCATTTTATGACCTGTGGAGTGCAGGCAGTGAGTAGAGTTAGTCTTTACACTTTCTCTTGTGATGTGATGTACGCAAGTGGCACAATATGACTTGTCTTCTCAATGTCCAACAGCACCAGAGACGGCTGATCCCTACTATCTTGAACAGACTAAGAAAAAGCTTGTCAAGGTGAGAACAGTGTTCTTTTCTGTTGTGATAATTCATAGCCATTTTGACAATGGTGTTGCTAGTGGCTGGCCAATATTTCAGTCATTATTTGGTATTTTGTAATTATCATTTTTTATTTCTTAATTATCAGTAATTACTTTTATTTGGTATTTTTTAATTATTAATAATCGTCATCTGGTATTATTTTTTTAATCAAATGTTGTGAACAGGATTTTGACAGTACAGGTGTACAAGGAGTCCATTCTTACTAAAAAATACTACACTAAGACTATAAGAAGTAGAATCTAAAGTAGAAATGTTTTTGAAAGTTATTTATCTTTTATTTCCACAAATTTTTCTTAATATTTATTTTTAAACTCAAACTATTTCTTATTAAAGTGCCCCTATTATGGATTTTTGAAAATGACCTTTCATGCAGTGTGTAACACGTGAATGAAAACACCCTGCAAAGTTTTAAATCTGAAAGTGCACAGTGTATAAAGTTATTGTCTCTCAAAAGAAAGAGTAGACTCTGAATCATTGAAACGAGTCGTTTTTAAAACGAATCCCAAGCCGTTTCATGTTGAAGTCAACATGAAACATTTGCATATTACCCGCCCACTTGTTGGTCTTTTCGGGTTGGTCTGAATGAAAATGCAAATTCATTCTTTGCCACTAGGTGC